CCTGGGCCGCGGGCGGGGAGGCTCCTGCCTGGGAGATGTCGCCCTCCTTGGGGTCTCCTCAGCACCCCAGGCGCTGCCCTTGATTCTGTCTGCAAGTGCTTGGGCACCTCTCCACCGGGAGAGGACCCGACCCTGTCCCCTTTCTTTCCTTCACCTCTCTTTCCCATCCCCTCCCTTTTCTCCTCTTCCTCTCCGCTTCTTGACCCTGCGCTTGTCCTGCTCCTCAGGAGGGGTAGGGCCAGAGCCTGACCGGGGGTCCTGCTTGGTCCCCCATGCCACCATTTCCTGGAGCCCCAGTGGACCTAGAGACCATGCCTGGGATGCTGGGGTCCTGGAGCCTGAGGGCCCAGGGCCTGGAGGAGGCAGAGCAGGTCTAAGGGGCTGGCAGACCTGGACCCAGCGCATCGGGGACCACACCCACAGCCTCCGACCAAGACCCTCCCCCAAACACAGTCCTCAATAGCCACTACCCCACAATAAGTCCCTCCTCCATCACACTGTCCCCTGCGCATGGGGGGCCAGCAGCCTTGCCCCCCGTGCTGATCTCTTCCCACTCTTCCTGGGGGGGATAACCCAGCCATCTTCTGGCCACACTTCCCTGTTCTATCCTGTTTTTGAAACATTTCACCTGCCTTGGCTGGGTGTTGGGTGGAGACACAGTCTGAGGCAGTTGAAGGGGTCTTTAGAGCAAGTTTTGTGTTTTGGTCGAGGACAATTGAGGCAGTTGTAGGAAATGGTACATGGGAATTACTGGTGAGTTTGCAGTGCAGGTGCAGGGAGCTGACTGCTGAGCCGCCCTGTCTCAGCTGGGCTGAGGGAAGCCAAAGACTGCCCTCACAAAACCCCACACCCTCCTCTTGGCCCCCCGGCTGGTTCCCACGCTGGGGTGTCCCTGGGGGTCCTCCAGCCACATGTCTCAGTTCTCTGGTGTGGTGTGCACCCATGATTTCCCAGTTTCCAGCCATTTCCCCACCGGACGGGGGAATTCCCGTGACTTGAGTCAGGCTGTGGGAAATGCTGGCTGGGGTCTGGGTGGGCCCATTTTCACTTCTGCCATGTGATTGCCTGGTGTCGGGGTAGTGTCTGGGTGGTGTTTCTGTTTGGTCAGTTGGGTGATGAGCTCCCTGCTGGGCCACTGACCAAGTCCTGACAACTTGGCCAAGAGTTTCCTGAAGCCAGATCTTGAGAAGTTCCCCCAGCGTGGGGGCCTCCGATCCCCTGGTCTGAGAAGGAGAGCTGATTTCCCAGGTTACCCACCGTGAGTCAGTGTAGACAGGTGGAAAGTGGGGGGAGGGTTAGGGAAGTTCCCTCAGGGTCATCTGAACCACTTCTGCTGGCAGCACCCCTGACCCGAGGCCCGCTGGCTGGGCCCAGAGCGAGGTTCCTGTGGGCCCTGTGGCCCGGGCAGCGCCTCCTTCACAGCTTCTTCTGAGGTTGGAACAGGAAATGGTTAATACTGTTTGCAAATAAAAACTTTCTGTTCTATCCTGTTTTTGAAACATTTCCCAGAAATTGAAGAAAGAGCAGCTAATATACTTGCCCAATGATGAACCAAGTTTAAAACACCAAATGGGACATTTCCAGGGTATCGCCCTGGAGGACCACTGGGCTGTCCTAAGACAGGAGTCTCCTACCTACCTTCCGTTGTCCCTAAGCTTTCTGGAATTCCCTCCCTGCTTTAAATGTCTCAATGTGACTGTGTGTGTGTGTGTGTGTGTGTGCAGATGTGTGGCAGACAGCAGGTTCCCTGTGAGTGTGTGGAGGCCAGGCTCCTGGGAAGGCTCCCTGGAACCAGGGCTGGGTGGAGGCCAGGCCACTGAGCTGGCTGTGGGACCCAGGCTTCCTGGACAGCAGAAGGGTCTTTAGGAGCAGAGCCAGCTGATGACCGCTGCCAGCCTAGCTGCTGGGGACCCCGCCACGGTGGGGGCAGTCCAGGGCAGGAGCCTGCACAGAGCTGGGCCAGGTGCCAGGGCTCACCTCCTCTGCTGGGGCTTGGGGCACAGGAGCCTCACCCCAGTACAGGGGGAGCCCCCTGCTTCTGACAGGTCCTGTCCCTGCTCCGTGCCTCCCCACGTCTCTCTCCTCACACTCAAGGCTGGTTCCTGCTGGGAGAGAGCCGTCCAGTGGGTTGACTGGCCTTATGCTGGGTCCTCTCTTGGCCTACATCCTCACTCCTCTGTGGGTGTGTATGCCAGAGGGTGTGGCTTCTGCCACCCTCCGGGTCTCACCCAGGCTGAGGACACAGGCTCAGGGGACAGTAGTGGGCTACCTGCACTTTGGGGAAGTCTTGCGAGGCTGCCCCCCTGCCAGCTGCCCTCACTGAGCGGAGTTGAGAAGCTGGGCCCTGGTGGGTGAGCAAGGCCAGGAGCCGAGGCCTGGGATGGGTGCTAGGCCTCCCTCCAGGAGGGCTAAGGGTGCTGAGCTGCTACCAGGCTCCCCAGACAGTTCTTTCCCAGGGCCCACTGATGCTCTGTCCTGGCCTATCCCAACCTGTGACCTGCTACAGGACAGAAGTCCCCACTGCACCTGGCTAGCCTGGAGAGACCAGTGTTGACTTGGTACAGCCTGAGGAGTGCGCCCCCATGTCCAGTCCCAGGCTGGACCCCAGCTGAGGCTCAAGACACTCTTGGGGGGGCATGCAGTTGCCTTTGTGGATTCCTGATAAAGAAAGAGGAGCGTTTGTGGTGACCTGTAGCCTTTGGGGACCTGGGTGGTGGGTGTGCAACCATAAATGGGCAGGGGGACAGAGGCACATAGCCCCGGCTCCCCTGTGGCCCTGGGTGTCTGCAGAAGTCGGGGTAGGTCTGAGGAGAGCCATTACATGGGCTCAGAGCAACCTGCTCCCTGCACTTTGGGGTCACAGTTGCCACCTGAAGGTGACTTTCTGGTGGGTGTGGTCAGCCACAATCCCAGAGCCTTTCCTGGACTCTCAGGAGCCTGGGAGATGGCCAGAGTACTGGAGACAGCCGGGGTGGGGCCCGAGCAGGGCTGTCGGGGCAGCAGGCAGCAGGATTTCCACAATGTCCTGGCCCCAAAACAGAAGCTCACATCCTCAGGTACAGTCCTGGTGGGTCCTCAGGGCGGCCAGGGCCAAGTCCATGGTGGAAACTCCAGGCACATTGGCAGTTTGTCACCCTGGAGGACCACTGCGCTGTTACCCAGCAGCAGACTCTTGGTGCAGTTTCTTTCTCACTTGAAGAAATACAGAGGTGGGTCAGGCAGAAGGACGTGGTGACACCAGAGGTTCCAGGGACAGGTTTCTGCTCTTCTCCTTCCACATATAGGGAAGGAGAGAGGAGGTGGAGGAGAAGGGAGGTGAGGAGAGGGGAGGTGAGGAGAGG